TCTTCTCGATGAGTTGTCAACAGCTAAGATCTACCTCTGCAGAATCTCTGGGGAGGAGAAATCCTGGCGTTTCTCAAATACAGGCTATGGACCGTGCTATATCTGGCCAAAATGTTCTTCCCCCAGCCACACACCCCGATGGCTATGCTCTACCCCAATAAGTACAGAAACAATCTACAATGCATTTTGCAATCCATCAGAATGGAAACAGTCATAAGAGCCTAATGATCCAGAATGATACCTGCAGTGCAGCCCGTGGCATCCAACGCATCCCGAAGCTGCTTCTCCTAAGCAGAGAGAGACTGAGGTTGCAGAAACGACAGCTCCCAGTGGGCCACGCTTCAGCAGGATCCAAAATGCTTGAGTGAAACTGCTCCATCAGGATGGGACACTGCACGACTACCTGCGGCATCTTCTCAGCAATCTAGGTCACTGCCCACAGATTAGAGACAAACTTCCAGCAGAGCTGCAGTGCTTTGATGTGTGTGCCAAACGGGAACCGGGCTTTCACAGGGATCACTTGGAAAAGTAGGAGCAGTAAATTGACCACATTCTTTTTGATTACAGGCAAGGGCAAAGAAGAATGCAGTCGACTCAAGGTTATGTTAAAAGTCTACCTCTGCTGGAATCCAGACAACTGGAGTTTTGCAAGGGCTTGTTTGCATAGCGGAGTGACTCACTGTAAACCAGTGTGAATTTTCCCTGCTTTTCCATTATAAGCTGAGAATGCTCATATACAGAGAAGTTGCTGTTACCATAAACTCACTCACCAGTTTATTGCATTGTAATTTCCTGACGTAGACAAGCCCTAAAGCCTCGATGGAAGTGGGTTTACCTTTGTCTGTTACAAACAGCAGACTCGTGAGGAGCTGGACGCGGAATACGGAGAAGGAGCGCAGAATTATGAATGGCTCCTAGCTCAATGTATACAGCACCTACTGACAAGGGAATACACGTGTCTGAGTATGCAGCTCTTTATAGCTTGGTTTGGCCAGGAGCTAGAGCGCAAAAATTTCACCTTGGTCCTTCTGTGAAAGACAGGCACCTAGAGACAGTAAGAAAACACTCGGAAAGAAAAAAATACAAGCTCTTCACTAACAGGCATTTTTCTGCACACTGTCGCAGGAAGCAGGTCCTGTTTGAAATCTCAGACCACGTTAATGTATGGTCACCAGAGGCTGCATTTTTCCAGTGGCAGCTGGTTGGAAATTCCCTCGTATAACCACCAATTACGTAACAAATTAACCAACTAAAATTCGATGGAAATTCAGATTTGCCAACTGGTGTGAACAGGACGTCAGGAAAGCAGAATGGGTCACAAATATTCTGAAAAGCTTGCATGTGAGTGCATATTTGCAGGGGAAGGGAAGCAATACAGCAATAGGACTTAGACTTTAAAAAAAAAAATTAAATCATTTGTTTTTCGCTTCCATCTGGACTCAGAGTAAGAAATTACGCAGATTTCCACTGCCCACTCTCCTTTTTCTTCCACACCCTCTTTGCATTGGCACGAGATAAAACCTTGGGGAAACAGCAGCAGCAATTTTCAATTCTCATTATCTAACGGCAGCAGTAGCTCTTGGTGAAACTTGCGGTCAATAAACTACAGGCAATTTTAAAAGACACAATGGGAACTGCCCCTCCCACAGCTGTCCCATTATCCCAGCTTTTATTAGATTTAAAGCCAGCGATTTTTATGCTGTAGCTGAAGTTCTGCAGAGCCATGAAAACAGACCACCAGAAAAGATAAAACACTCCTAAATTAAACAGGAGACATTATAGTAACATACTCTAAAGTCAGAGAGCTCCCACATCGGCAAAGCACGGGACCCAGCAAGTGACCCAGAGCCCAGGCGGGCCGACGCCGTGGCAGCCAGTCAATGGTGACGTGACCAAAACTGAACATTCCAGATGGTATAAATGGCAAAAGTTAGAGAGCAGGTTGGGCAGGACAAGTTGAAAGTACACTAGCTACGAACACTGACAATCAGAGCAGGATCCTGCTCCCGTAACGCTATGAACATCCCACGACAGGCACTAACTTTGGAGTGCATGGTCCGGATGTCCCCAGAGCAGAGAGGAACACTCACCTGCAGATGACAATTCAGTCGACCTGCTTCAGATGGCTGCTTTAGGATCAGCTGCACCATGCCCTGGCAGTGCCTACTGCCCTCCCTTGACTACAAAAGAAGCCCCGATGGCCAGAAAACATATAAAACAGGTAATGTCAGTTATAGCCCTGCCACGCACTACGATAAAGTAACCTGTTCCTGTAAGAGGGCCTGTACAGGAAATGAGTAGAAAATACATTTCAAAACTCATTAAATGATTACCTGATACATTTGTCCACGGGGCAGAAGGAACTGAGGGTGCATCTCGGCTCCTGGCTCAGAGATGTGCACAGCAATAGGCAAAGGGAAATGGGTGCCCAAAGGAACAGTCTCCAACCAACACAGTAAGGAGGAAGATGCAAAGAATTATTCTCATCCACTGTAAGCTGTAATTTTCAGTCTAGAAATCTAGAGCTTGTTTTCTCTAAGTCTAATGTATACCATGCCCTGGAGACATTTTTACCAGCCATCAAAAGGAACTTGCAGAGAACCAGATGCTTCATTAAAGAATATTCACCAAGCCTTATAAAATCTTTAGTAAAAAGCAGAAGAACAAATCACCAGCATGCAAGTGAGCTGAAGTCACACATCCAGCTTTGATTACAGCCTCCTGTACTGGAAAACAAATTGTGTTTAAAAAAAAAAGGAAAAAACACCCAAGAAATCAAGAGATTCTGGCCCCTCTTTCCCACATTCCTCCAACCTGAATTTCCTGAATGAGAAATGCGTGAGACAAAGCCATTTGGTAGAAGTTGCTAATTTAAACTTAAAGAAAAATAACAGCTCAAAAGGGGAAGGGAGGAGGGAGTTTTAATGCTTTATAAAAAAACCACAACAGCTTGTGACCACTACATATATCTCAGGAATCAGAAGACTCAGCAAGAGCAGTGAGGCAAATTGTCAGGGTTTGAGCTGTCCTGGGACAAAAGAAACTGCAGAAGACATGCTGCCTTACACAAATTTTATTTGAATTGGTACGTGCAGAACCCTCTAACGCCTACATCTAGCAGCAAGGTCTAGTTACCCATTCCTTAGTCTCCCTCACTCTTTCCTAAAACATAGCAAGGAGATTTTCTGCCATATTGTCATCATCCACAACAAATTAATGTCCTACGCACTGCTCCTTCCAGGAATTTTCTATAACAGTGGGGAAAAAAATTTCTGAAGTTCACTGAACACTCTGGGCACCAAGACGACCCTCAGTTTTCGGTTTATAAAGAAAACCTACCCAAAACCCCACCGCCACACCAATCCAAAAAAGATCCAAGTTAATAGGATCTTTCACTGCCCTCTGCTGTTACCAGTCATTTAGCTTCCAATTTACTCTTTAATAATGTCGGGCTGGGGCTCAGGGCTGGCAGCGTCCCAGCCCCTTTCTCAGGCGGGTTGGAGCCGCAGCTTGCAAATATGCTGAAGTTTAATGCAATCTGTCTTCTTTGGTAATCACATTCCGCCCGCACTGCATGCAATAAAGATGTATTGGTAAATGCATTTGCTAAAGATATACTCCACCGAAAAGGCTACAGGGCTGATTTACAGGAGGCAAGGAGGAAGCATCAGGTAAGGGGGGCTGGCAGGAGATGCGCCAACGCTCTGCGCACAGCAACAGAGGGCAGGGATTGTGCAGAGGCAGCACCGGCACCGCTTCACTTTAAAGCTGAGAAAGAAAAAGAAACCACACGTTTTGGGAGCTGGGGACTTTAAAGATATCAGAGAAAAGCCCTTTCCCTGGCAGCTTTAACCTTGCTGATTTGCAGACATACAAAGACCTTCTTTGTAAACAGGAAGGAAAAAAATTCCACTAGGACTAGCAACAACATTTGGTCTAATATATCCTGACAATTTTCCCATCTCCTTCTGTCGGGCTTCTTCTGGGAGCCGGCTGGCAGCTTGTTTCATGTTATACTTAAATCAGGCACACAGCTTCCCCTCACAATGCTAATGCGACAGAGAAAGACTGCTTCTATGAAATCTCCACCCTTCGCATTAGTAATCCCATGAGAGGAGTCTCAGTTTTCTATTCCCAGAAGGCTCCCCAAATTCACCTTACTATAGTCTCAGCACCTTTTGGATAATTTTCTATCCCCCCAAAAGAAAAGCATGCCCTCGAGGGACAGCTGACACACTGAATTCTCATGTGGGGAACAGCATCCTATACGCTCCAGACATCCCAAGCAGCAGCTTATGTCTTACCACTCACTTTTACTGAGACCATATCCTACTTGTTATGTCCAAATCCTTCATTTTTCCTTTCTCCTTCACTTGTTTCAATAGACAGAAATTCTTCCAAGGTAGTGAGCAGCTACTGTCCTAAGGCATCAACAGAATCTACTAGGGCTCTGCATCTCAGAAGGAAGAGCCATAAGGCTTCCTGGCCCCCCGCACAAGATAAACAGTTTTTAGGAGCGTGCAATTTTCTTAATAGGCAGCAGCTTTGCCCACTAAAGAAGCTTTCCTCATGCAGCAATGAAAGGAAGAAAGACCTCCAACTGCGAAGTCCCATAATGGGAGGATGTTTAGAGCTCGTTCAAAATGTTGCTGACAGTGGCAAAACAGATTTGCCTACCACTTGCAAACTACAGCATCGAAGAAGGCAAAACTCAGGAAAATTATTGTGACTGGCTTTGAAACCTTGGAGCATCGGTGCTACTGTTTTGGTGGCAGCTCAGTATGACAGGACCCACCGATGGGAGTGAAGCTGGGACACGCCACAGTGTGAGTGGGAAACGTGGAATGTATGTGGGAACATGGATCCCAAAGAAAAATTGTCTCCTATGAACATTGCAATTTGACTAACAGGTACCACAGCTCTCAGAAACACTTCCAGAAGAAAACACCATGCAAAACAGACAGCAAAACCAGCAAGAATAACAGGGAAGCTTTTGTTACCTTCTGAGCTGCACTGACACAGCGCTGATACTTCTTTGCCAGCTCTGAGCATTTGAGCACTTCATGTTTGTTTTCTTGGTAGCACTTCAGAATTTCAGACTGCAGGCTTGCACAGACAGGATCAGTGTTCCTCCTCCTGCAGGGAAAACAAGCACAGAAAGATATGTGAAGAGGAGTTTTCACCCACTTACTAACATTTTACCAGTGACACACATACTAATTTTGTATTGGAGTCACCTAGCCCTAAAAAAGAGAGAAACTGGTGGGAGCAGGAATCACCAAAGTGGGTCAAATGACCAACAGCATCCTTCAGCTGAAAAATCCAGAGTACTTAGCAGAAAGAAAGAACACTTTCCTTCTAGGTTGCATGTTTTACCCTTAGATAAAACACCATCTCTCCTCTGCAGTCAGGGGAAAAAAAAAAAAAATCAATTCCAAGAGGTTCAACGATTTCCCCAACTCCCATTGGAAATCTTTGGCAGAACTCAGGAATCCTGGCTGGGCCTGAGCTAGATCTGTAACAGTCTGACAAGGAACTGAACGGACTGGTTGAATAAGCCGCCTCAATCTATTGAATTCTCATCTATTTAAACACTTGAAAAAATCCAACTGTGGTTGAAAGCACTGCAATTCTCCCAGTGACTAGAAAAAACGGAATAATAGCAAGACCAGATATCTTTTTCTTTGTATTTCTGAAGCAATTAGTACTCATACCCCGTAAGCGGCATTGACAGCTACCCAAGAACAATTAGGGATGATGTTCTTACACTCTAATGTGCATGTGTACATATGGCACATCATCAGCAACAGTACCAATAAAGGGGAAGGTCGTTGTAAAACAATACCAGCAACAATGGCACAAACACAGTAACAACAGTGTCATCAGCTGCACAGACAGGCAGACACAAATTGCAGGAATTTGCAGCACAATTGCCATGGTCTGTTTTACCAGAGAACAAGAGAACATATGCTGAGGTGTAGCAATCCTCAGATGTTGCCTCCTAAACCATAAATCCAGTTAATTCCTTGCATTTTCTGCCCCAATATGTTTAGAGATGTGTGCCCAAATATCAAATGCACCTCTTCCTTCCAAAACACTTGGTGCTACGGGCAGGCATTAATGCCACACTATGATGTATTCATTCCCACAGTAACAACAACAGGCACTCACTCAGCAACAGGGCTCCAGAGCAAGGCAGAGAGAAAATGTGACCTGTTCCTGGGCAGGTCTCATTCTCTCGGGTGGAACGGATTTTTAAGAACCACAAAATCTTAAATCAAGATCTTCTAAAAGCTTTTGGAGAACTCAGATAGGAGTTCCCAAATCACGCTCGTTTTTGTAGGGCGCTCAGGAAGGCAAGTGGAAGGATCCAAAGAAGAAAAAAATAAATTCTGCCCTTTTCCTATCAGTAGCCTGATTGCTACCCCAGAATAGTCCAGTTGCGACATACTCCAAATGATATTACTTCAATGCTACTTAAATGATATTACTTCAGTTCTACTTCCAACAAACATGGACAGACTACAAATTTATCAGTAACAGTATGACAGACATACTCTAAACACTGCTGTTTGGATCAGAAACCACCAAAGACACTATATAGACTTCTTTTTCCACCTCTTCACTAATCTTACAGCTTTCAGAAGAAACCTATTCCATGCAGAGTCCCTACAGGCTAGTGTGCATTTCTAATTTCTATGTTCTGTAGCAAATCACTCTAAAGCCTCTAAAAATCCATACTCTAAAAAATCTTCAAATTTTGGAATAGAAGAGAACCCAGGGAGAGCTTCAGAAACTCATAATGTTGGCATTTTGCTTTGTCACTAACTTTAATATCACTCTAATCAAATCAGCGAGACTGTGGAAACGATACCAAACAATACCAGGTCAGGAAATACCACCAAATCCCTCAATTCATTGAAAAAGTTAAGACTTTTAAAATTAGGTTTTTCTTTTTTTTTTAAACTCAGCCATGTTAAACTGAAAGGCATTTTGTATTTTTCATGCAGAGAGCTGGAAGAGCAGAAAGGTACAGCACGCCACAAAACAGTCTGTATTCACCTGAATTGAACAATATGGTACAAATATTCAGGAGAATGCTTGAGGCTGCCATTATCAGCATGGACAGTTATAGGAATTGAGCCTTTTTGGTTTTATCTGTTCCTTCACTGTCCCTCCTATAGCATCAGTCATACAACAGTAGTGCAAAGTCCACGGTCCTCTTCTTGAGGAGAAGAACTTGGTGCTCAGCCCATAGCACAGGGCTATTTAAAAGCCACACTGTGGTGAGTGAGGAGCCAGAGTGAGTGTTGCTGCCTAAAGTCTACCAGAGGCACAGGATCAATCAGCATGGAATGGCATTGCCCGGCGAGTACCTAAATCAGTGTTTATATGTGCCACTTCCCACAACACAGAGAAGATTTATTGGGCACCAGGTATCCAGAATCGTAACGATTCTTCATTTCTTCAAAATAAAACCTCAAACTCAGGTTATGCATCACTTGCAGCACCAGCTTCTCAAAACAGGTTTAAAGAAACTAATCAACGTAATGCTAAGTTGGTTAAGGTAATTATCAACATAAATTCCACAAACCAATATATTAGTGCAGTCACAAGTGAACTGGAAATTCAACAGAACTAGTTAAATCCTACTGAGAAAGACATTTCACTTTGGAGTGGGAAGCTAGCACTGCTTGGGAGATAACTGTGCCTGTGCCCCACCATGCAGCCCCGTCTATGAAATGAAGGCACAAGAGGTAAACGTGAGCTCACCATAAGGGAGAAAATCCTGCATAGTCCAGGAGAACACAAGCCACCCACATCCAGCAGACTAGTTCTGGTGCCCATCTGGGCTGAAAAAGGGTATCTGAACTGCTTCGGGGAACAATTGCTTGAGGAGCACAGCAACCACTACTCCTGTCCTATCTGACTCAAAGGGATGCCACTCTCCTGCTCATATTAAGTCTCTTAACTTCAGGTTGCAACGTTTCCACTCAGGTGGTAACTACAGCCCTATACACCAGTTGCACCTTACAGTTGTCTGGCTTTACTCATATATGTCTGAAAGGAAAAGGAATTAAACATGAAAAGCCTGATGGAGACCAGCAGCATCTAACTACTAACATCTCTGTTAAGAGAAACAGCACGCTGTCTTCCAAAGGACGTGGACCTTCGTCAACCGTCTCCCTTCAACCTCTGCCCAGCTCAAGGCTGTTGATACTAATCAACCTTTAGAAAAATTAATCTTCTAGACGCTCCACTGCTCTTGGTAAACATCTCATTGTTTGAGGGGTTTTATTATTATTTCTTAAACAACAAGGAGGAAGGAACATGGTGGAGCAGGGATGAGTTCTGAACACATAAAGAGCAGATTAGTAACCTTTGACCTGTCTTCTAAAATGGGTCACAGTTTTAAGCAAAAATACGCTACTACCAAAAAAGGTAGACAATTAGCCTCTAAAATAAAATGCATTGCTATTATCAAAACAGATGTAAGAGGCTCGTTTATAGCAGGTAGGGAAAAGGCAAGAGAGAAAGGCTGGGCCGGGAGGGGTGAGGACAGTACCCCCAGCCAGGCAGGTATGGGAGATGGGCTCTGACAATGCCTCGGAAATAAATGCAGGACATACAGAATATGAAAGATTAAACCAATAACACACACTCTCATCTGTTTAAAGGAAGAGGAAAGGAGAAAAGATGACAGGAGGGAAAAAGGAAAGGATGAATCTAGAAATAAAACTCGTTAGTGGTGCCTCCCCTGCCGTAGTGGGGAAAGAAACCTTTGCCTCGCCAGCGTTCAGAGGGAAGGAAGGCTACGTACACATGAAATCCACAATTTCAGATCTTCCTCCCCCCCGCCCCTCCACGGAGGGATCTAAATCAGGTCTTTGTCTGGGAAAGAAGAGAGAGTTTTTCTTAAAATGAAACAAAGGGCATCCTTCTCTCTGCTATCCCTTGAGGTAAGACGGAACGAGCACGATCTTGCTGCATTTTGACACACCGAGAGTTACCAAATCCTCTCTATCACTGCGTATTCCCTTTACTTTATTTAATAAATGAAATCTCATCAACTTATCCTTCTTCTATTATCACTGCTGACATCAATCTGATAATATTGGCTTGGCGTGGAATCGTGCTATTATATGTCCTCTTGATATTTAATTTAAGAGAAACGTCTGCAGTGGGGTGAATATGTGAAGCAAGCTTTTTATTACTGGCAGCAGTAAGGACGCTGGGAGTGAATTAGACATTCATCTTAGTCAGGGCCAATCTAGTGGCTCAGAAGAGGTTTTCTTCTTAACCCTCTCCTAACTGTTCAATAGCAGCAGGTAACGGCTGCTCCAGTCAATAACTGCATTCATTTGTCTCGGCAAATTCATTTCTACATGGATATAAACCCCGTGAAGAAGTGCTAAGCGTCCGGGAGGTTAAAGCAAGGTTCTTTGAGAATTTCCATCATAAGCTCTGCGATAGTAGGAAGAGTGCTGGTCTGAACGTCCATCAATTAATCAAGAAGCAACACAGCTTCCAAAGGCAAACATACAAACTTACTGCAAGAAGCAATGAAAGTGGTATCACCAGGACACAGACCCCATGGAGAGGAGGTTTCAAACACGGCACGATGGCTACTTGCTAGTTCCTGCTGACAGGTTCCCTTTTCAGAAGAAGAATTATGAACGCTATTGGAAAGCAAGGGAAAGCTGGAAGATGTGTATGTACTTGCTAGTCCTTCCACTCAGCTGAAAAAAAATCAGACTAGCCAAGCAGAGGTACAACTTCAGTGCTTTAGGCCTTGGCAGCTGCTTAGACTAGCGCAAAATCAGTAACTCCACAGCGAGAACCACACCTTCACTTGGCTTTACCAGGTAGAAGAGCAACTCCAGATGGAGTTAAGAGCAAGATCATCTTATTACCTTTTACCCTGGGAAACCGTTCAGACTGAGAAAAAACTTGAGATAGAGACTGATGGTATCTAAACCTAGACATTGAGATACCTCTGCTTAGAAAGTCAAAAATAAAGGCACGCAGGGTCCCTCGTATAAGCTGACTTTCGAGCATCTAGCTCCAGCACACAGCTGCAACCTAAATGAGGCAACAACCTGGAATTTCCTGTGGGCTGCAAAATCCAGCAACTG